TTAAAGCATTTAAAATTATTTTTATTAAACGGGCCGCGTGTAAGCCTGTTTAGCCCGCGAGTTAAATAGACGGGCCGCGGGCCTTAAAATTCAAAACCGTTTATGAATGCGGGCTTTTTAGCCCGCTTCGTTTAAGCCCGCACCGTCAAAACCCGCGGGCTAAACGGGTGGGTAGCCCGTATACCCACCTCTAACAAGAAATTATGTGAGAACTTAGTGGCCGATCACTTAAGCCGGCTTCCAATCACTATAGTTGATCCTCCCATTCGTGAAGAATTCCCGAAGGAAAGCTTGATGATGGCACAAAAGTCAACACCTTGGTTCGCAGATATAGTTAATTACTTAGCTACAGGTAAATTGCCATCTGATTTAACGAGAGCTGAAGTAAACCGCATCAAGAGAGAATCTCGTTTCTTTATTTGGGATGATCCATATCTCTGGAAGCATTATTCAGACCAGGTAATTCGACGGTGTGTTCCTGAAAGCGAGGTAAGCTCAATTTTAAATTTTTGTCATTCATATTCGTGTGGCGGAGACTTTGGATCGAAACGAACTGCTCATAAAATTTTGGAATGCGGATTTTTTTGGCCTCATATTTTCCGTGATGCTTACTTGTTTTGCAAGTCGTGTGATAATTGTCAACGTGCATGTAATTTGAGTCGAAGAAACGAAATGCCTCTTAATCCTATACATATATGCGAAATATTTGATGTTTGGGGACTTAACTATATGGGTCCATTTGTTTATTCTTTTGGCAATTGTTATATAATTCTTGCGGTTGATTATTTGTCGAAGTGGGTAGAGGCTAAAGCCACTCGAAACAACGATGCTAAAACTACTGTTCAATTTCTAAAGAATTGTATTTTTTCCAGGTTTGGTACACCGAGAGCGATAATAAGAGATCGCGGCACATACTTCATCAATCGAGTAGTTGATGTTCTTATGAAAAAAATATGGAGTAAATCACATAATTGTCACGGCTTATCATCCACAAACAAGCGGACAAACGGAAATTTCAAACCGAGAAATAAAGATGATTCTTGAGAAAATAGTTAAGCCAAATCGCAAGAATTGGAGCTTGAAATTAATTGACGCTTTGTGGACTTATCGGACTGCATATAAAGGACCTATCGGCATGTCGCCATATCGCATTGTGTTCGGTAAGCCGTGCCATTTACCTGTCGAGCTAGAACACAAGGCATATTGGGCCGTAAAACAGTGCAATATGAAGTTAGAAGCGGTTGGCGAAACACGAAAGCTACATATACAAGAGCTTGAGGAAATCCAGAGAGATGCTTACGACAACGCCAAGATATATAAGGACAAAACTAAAGAATTTCATGATCGAAAGATTGTTTCTAAATCTTTTTCTATCGGACAAAAAGTTCTTCTTTTTAACTCAAAATTGAAACTTTTTTCAGGTAAACTTCGATCAAAATGGAACGGACCTTATACGGTAACTGGAATATTTCCTCATAGCGCAGTCGAAATTGAAGACAATTCGGGCACTCGGTTTAAAGTAAATGGACACATGATTAAACCGCATTATGCGAATAGCGAAGTTTGCTTGGTTGAAGATCTCAACTTAGAAGAACCTGTAGTCTGAATCAGGTCGTCGAGCTAACGACATTAAACAAAAGCGCTTCATGAGAGGTAACCCATTGTTTTTAATTCCATTACATTTTTTTTCTTTTCGATCTAGCATGTTTTATTTTATTTTTATTTTGCAGGAATCAAATTTTTTTATTCAAACTTGAACGATGAAGATTTACGAAATTATGATTCGAACAGTGCTAATTTTGGAGACTACTGAGCAGTGAACAGTCGAACAAAGCAGAAAAAAATAATGCCCCAGCCGTGCGCACCGTTTAATTAAACGGCGCACGTTAGCAAAATCGATATGAAATCCGGGGAGTACTTTATTCCTTCTCTTGCACTTTAGTTTTCGTTTTGAGGCAAAATACTTTAAGTGAGGGGGAGTAGAGTGTCGGATTGAATTTCCCTTTGATTATCTTTATGTTTCGATGCTAGTATATGTTGGTTGGATTTGTCAAAAATTTCATTGATTGTCTTGTTGAAAATTTTTGGAATGCTATACTTGTTTGGGAACACATGATTATTTAAGTTAGGATGTTCTTGATATCGAATAGCATGAATTATGATAAGTTGGTGTTTTTGTGATATTCCATGACTTTGTTGGTTGAAATGTGATTAGCTCAATGCATGAAATAATTTGGTGAGATTTGAGCCTTTACGAGCATATTATTTTTGCTCTCATTTTGTTTGATTGAGTGTGGCGAATTTGACATTGGTAATCTAGAACCTGCATGTTAAATACTGTCGAGATTACACATGAACATGATGCTTAAAGATGATTTGGGCACATTAGGATTAACCATTTCGTTTCCCTACTAAATAGCCTACCCATGCATTTTCCCCTTAGTTAACCACTTTTAAGCCTTTTCTCATTTCTTTGTTTTCACCATATTCATAAACCCGATCCTTTTTATTTTATCCCTCTTTTCTACATTTTTCAAGGCAAGTGAATAATTTTTTTCCCATTGTATGCTCCATAAAAAAAACAATTCGAAAAAAAGATGCTATTCGAAAAAGAAAAAAAAAGAGAAAAAAAAGAAAAAATACATGAAAGAAAAAAAATAGAAAACAAAACAACAAAGTGTGAAAAAGAAAAAAAAATACATTTCAAAAAGAAATTTGTTGTTTGATATATCGTCTTTTTATCTTGTGCTTAATGTTTTCATGTAGTTGAGATCATTATTTATTAGTTCATTACATTGAATTTTTAGCCACATATTTAGCCATTTTCCCTACCTTTACCTAAGCCCCGTTACAACTAATAAAAGACCCTTTGATTTATGCATCTTGTTCTTATTAGTAGTGGAGATTTGATTTACTTGCAGGCTTATGGTAATATCGTGTCGATTCTGACATTGAGCGTTTTTTTACCCCCAAACACATTGAGTGAATCCCGGTAAGGTTTTGAGTTATGAGCATTGAGATTAATGAATGAATGGACATTACAATTGCACTTGACTTGTTCCAATTGGTGATGTTCAATTGATTGATTTCTTGACTTGAATAGTTATTGTGGTCTCTACATTGCTTCCTTGAATATGAAACTTGACAAAGAACATTTAATGAAGTTTTTGACTGATTTGGTTAATCATACTTGAGGACAAGCATGAGATAAGTGAGGGGGAATTTGATGAGTGTTTAGAATCGTTAATCTTTGCTCATTATTTCTTCGATTTTGTGGAGTTATTGCTGCTGATTTGGTCGTGTTATGCCTATTTTCGTGCAGGTCCTTACTTTCTAGAATTAGTGATAAAACGGGCGAATTTTATATTTTTTTATTTGGTCACGGCTGGAGACATAGGCACGACTCTGGGCACGACGCGGTCTGACGTGGCAGTTTCTAGAAGGTCTAGTCAGCGGCGGTTTCTATAAGACTTCGTCCGCACGTCTTCTGGAATATTGACGAGCAGAGTTGCATTAGGAGATTAGTTTAAGTTTGAATTTAAATTTAAAAACAATTATCTTTTTTATTATTTTATTATTTTCTTTGCTTATCCTTTAGGCTTTGAGAGGCTATAAATACCCACTTGGGGTAAGCCTAAACTCATCATTCGGAATACATTATTCTTTTCTCTCTAGTTTTTATAAAAGCTTTTTATTTTTTATTTTTTATTTTTATTTTTATTTTTATTTTTTCCTTTTCAATTTCTTTTATTTTTCTTTATTTCCAAACTTGTTTTTAATATGCTAAGTATGCATTTTTTCATGCTTAGCTAAACTTTTCATAAGCCGAGAGCTGTCGCGATGACTTAATTCCAATAGGAGAATTGAAACATGTCTATAATATCTTCGGAAATCTCTCTCAATCTCTGTGCTTATTCTTTTTCAAAATCAAAACAGTTTTCAAAATCAAAGATTGACTTTGGTCAAGAGGTTGTTGCGATTAAACGTGTGGGAGGAAGATTCGGCTTATAGAAAACAATTCGACTTCCTGGGAACACATTTGGCGATATAGCTTCGCCAAGAGGGATTTCAGATCGGAATTGACGGTTATAAAAGCAACAATCCGAGTCGGTCGCCACAAACTTAAACGGTAATTGATCTACGACAATAGATGTTGATAGAATCAATTCCCGAAGCCGGAATCAAAGATTGCCCTGGGTTTTCGGTATACAAGATAGAATTATGGGGATAGCCCTCGTAGACAAAGTAACCGACGTGAATCCCGAAGAGAAAATCTTATTCGATGATCTAAAGAAAATTGAGTCAAAGCAAGGCTCGAGGCTATTTTTACCGTATTTATTCACAACCATTATTCTCTTATTTTTTTACTTTAATTACTTTTATTTATTTAATCGTTTTTATTACTACTTAAATCTCATTCTACCAACCCCCATTTTACTATCTTTCACGATATACATAGACCAATCAAACATAAATTAAGAATTTTCTAAGTCCCTGTAGATTCGACCCTACTTTTCTACGCTACGAATTTTCTTTTATTTATTATCCGAGAAGTAGAAAATTATTTTGACATCTAAACGATAGTTGTCAACTGTTAAGGGGTAAATTACATCTATGGGCACTAAATTTTGAAATATATTTAATTTTGACTATTGAAGTTTTAAAAATACATTTTGATCACTCAAATTAATGGAGTAACTTTTATTACAAAAATAAAGCTTTAGTAATAAAAAGAAGGGTTAACTACATGAAAAATCATTTAGTTTATATTTTGTTCACTTTTTATCACTTTAAAAAAAAATATAAGATATAATCACCTTCATTTTCATTTAATTAAGATGTAATCACTTTCGTTTTTATTTAATTAAGACGTAATCATTGCATGTTAACTACTATAACAATTAACAGGATATGTGATATGATAATTGATATAATCACATATTTAATCTATATTATTTATATATATTCTCTTCATTTAATCAATTTAGTAGACATTGTAGGTAGAGGTTGTGGTTGATAGAGAGAAAGATGTTTAACTTGTAAAAAGCCCTTCCTCACTCTCTAAAAAACCATACAAGAAAAAGTATACAGCAAGTGATTTGTCTGGTTTTCTTCTATTATGGATAGCTATGAAGCAACCAGGATTGTTTTCTCTAGAATCCAAAGCTTGGAACCAGAGAACGCTTCCAAAATCACGGGTTTACTGCTGATTCAGGACCATGGAGAGAAGGAGATGATTCGTTTAGCCTTTGGTCCTGAAGCTTCACTTCACTCTGTGATACTCAAGGCCAAGAAGGAACTTGGTCTTCCTTGCAACTCTCCTTCACCTTCACCTCAAACTCCAGCTTCTCCTTCTCCTTTTAATATTCCAAGGCAGAACTCATCTGCTTCCAGGCTCATACCATCTTCTCTCACCGTCCCTACTTCTTCTGGTACTTCTTCATGGAGTCCTTTGTCTAATCTACCAAACCCTGACGAGTTGATCAGTCCGAGCAGTGGCTCTTTGAACCCTTCTTCTTTGCCTTTCTATGGAACGGGTGGGGTCACTGATATGGTCGATGAGTTTCAGCTTCAAGATCAACTATCTTTCCTCAACGAAAGCTCACAAAACCATGATTTCTTCTACCCACACGCATCTGATTTGTCCTCTGGATCACCTGCTGGTGCTCGTGGCACCACTGATGCCATGGGGTTCCCTTCATATTGGGGGACTTCCCTTCACAGGAGGAGTAGCTCCGTGAGTGATATTTTGGGAGCTAATGACCTGGCTTCCGGGTTTGGGTGGAGAACCTGCTTATATTTTGCTAGAGGGTACTGTAAAAACGGGAACAATTGCAGATTCATTCATGGTGACCTTGGGGAACCTGGACCAGATTGTGCCGCCGTGGTGGGGTCACCTAACAAGCTCGAGTTGGATCAGTGCCACGAGTTACTTAGATCTAAATCAGCTCAGCATCAGAGGTTGGCTGCTGCTTCACAGCTCATGGGTTCTGCTTCTTTTCCTCCTTGCTCCCCAAAGTGCATAAACTCGTTTCTTCAACAGCAACAAAATGATTCCCAGAGGTACTTGGTAGTTGATCTCTTTTCTATGTCCTGTACAATTATGTAATAGTTACTGATTAAATATTTCATTTTGGTTTCGGACCTGTAGGTCTGCAGCAGCTGCTGCTGCTTTAATGATGGGTGATGATATGAACAAATTTAACCGAGCAGGCATGGTTAACCCAGCTTCAAGACAGATCTACTTGACCTTCCCAGCTGATAGCACCTTCAGAGAGGAGGATGTGTCCAACTATTTCAGGTATTTTTGTTGAATATTGTACTCTTCTATGTTGGTTAAAGTATTTTGTTGCTAAAAACTATTTGTGTTTATCCTTTTGAAGTATATACGGCCCAGTTCAAGATGTGAGGATTCCATTCCAGCAGAAGAGAATGTTTGGCTTTGTTACTTTTGTTTATCCTGAGACCGTGAACATCATCCTGGCTAAAGGGAACCCTCATTTCGTTTGCGATGCTCGTGTTCTGGTGAAGCCTTACAGGGAGAAAGGAAAAGTCCCGGACAAGTACAGGCATCCTCTCTCACTTTGAAATCTTACTTCGGATGATTTGCTTACTTGGTCTAGATCTGGTGAACCTACTCTGTTATCTTGCAGGAAACAGCAACAAATTGAAAGAGGAGAATTCTCTCCTTGTGGTACTCCAACTGGCCTTGATTTGAACCCCGAGACCCATTTGACCTTCAGCTTGGTAAGCCAAAGCCGTTGTCAATTTTCCTTGTGATGTACTTGATTGTTGGGCTAACGATATCCGTTTGACCTGTAGGACCGAGAATGTTTTACAATAACCAGGACTTGTTATGGAGAAGGAAGTTGGAGGAGCAAGCTGATCTTCAGCAAGCCATTGAGCTTCAAAATAGAAGACTGATGGGTCTGCAACTGCTTGGTGTGAAGAAGAATCAGCATCACAGGGCTCTTTCTAGCGGAAGTCCCTTTCCATCACCTACTCACTCGCCGAATATGTTCAGCCAGTCCCTTGTAATACCTCAATTTCATAATGGTCAAGAAGCTCCACAAGGTAGCTACACATTTTCATTTCGAATGTAACAATTTAATTGAGTAATCGTTGAATTCATATGAAACTGCTTGCTATATCTCATTGCAGAGAATTGTTCCAGCCCTGTGCCGGCCTTATCAGTGAATGCTTTCGAGGAGCAAGCAGAGAGTACTGCTACTGCTGTGGTTAAAGAATCAGCCAGTGTTGAAGACAATGGTACTGGCAAGGAGAGCCCTCATCATGAAGATGGTTATCAACCAGAAAGGTATTTTAGTAATCTTTGTACATTCAAATTGTATATTGTTTCCAGGGATGATTGAATAGTTTGTTGATTTGTAACTCACGCATCTATTGTATTGAATTACAGTTTGGAGCACAACCTTCCCGATAACCCTTTTGCATCTCCTGCAAAAGCTGCCGGAGAGTACTCATCTGCATTCTCTAATACTGAAGCTGATAGGGATATATCTGTCCCGGCTTCTTCTATAAACAATAATTGGGTCTGTTCAACCTTGCTTCCAGAAAATAATGCATTAGACATGCCATCGTTCAACTCATTCAACTGCCAAATGCCCAGGTACATCGTCATTATTATTGATAATACACTCATTATGATTATAAATGGAGTCTTCACAAGGTTGGGGATACAATGTGTCAAAAATTTGGAACATGAGTATTTCTTCTCTATACAGGTTCTCGTACGGACATGGGACCATCGGTATGTATGCAGGCACTGGCGGTCCAACTTGCCCTGTTGGAATTTAGCTTCCCATGTGCTACAAATCAAACAACAAAACTTCACATCAGAGAGATATAGAGAACCACCACCACAGTTCACTACAATCCGAACCACCTCGACCCTTTTCTCGTAATCGTTGATACTATACTTACTACCATACAAAATGCGTACATAAAAGGCAGTGAAGTGGGTCAGCCATTCCATTTCTTTTCTTTGTAATATTGTTATTTATTGTTTCAATAGTTTGGGCCACAGGTAAAAAAGAAGCATAGCAAGAAAAGATAAAAAGGATCACAGTCAATGTGTAGTTGTATCTCCCCTTGAACTGTAATTTCTTCCCCTCCCCTATGGTTTCCCAGGGAGAAACAAGGAAAACAAACCCTTATTTAGTTCATTTCTTTTCTAGCTTGTTTCTCAATGTTTGTACAGAGCAAGAAGGGAAACACAGTTGCAGAAAATAGCAAAATCACGGGGGGAAGAATGTTAAATCTCACTTAACAGTGTAATACCTTTAATCAAAAGATCATCTGTTATTTGTAAGCACAGTGTCAACCCTTTATAGATAATGGAAGAAAAAGGGAGTTTCAAAATGTAATCTAATGTGGATTTTCTTGTGGTACAAGAACGTCTGATTGTGTTAGAATCTTACCTGCACATGCAATGATGCAGAATAGCTATGACACTACTAGCATTATTGATCAATGGTGGGGCCATGTATGCCTTTAGAATTCAGAATTTTTATTTTAAGGCATTGATATGACATTCATTTGAGGGGGAAGAAACAGGATGGTCCACAAAGACAAGCAATCACATGCGTGGCTAAAGGCTGACAATACAAGTGGGTCCTACACCATTGTTTAGTAAATAATAATAATCTATCTAAGTGCCAGGTTGTTAGTGGGGTCTTCTTCCCCATCACCACCACTCACCCATTTGGGCATTTGGCTCAATCACTGATACGCTGCTTTTGTTAAAATATTCATCTCCTTTGGCTCTTGCTTTCTACCGCTAGACATTTTGGCTTAATGCCACCATTTTTCTTAGTTTACACAGTAAAGGGGGAGTCTTTGGGGATGTGTGAGCTTTTGTTTCTGCCATTGTCGCACAGTAAAAAACTTAACTTCGGAGGGTTCTTTTTCTTTTGTTTTTCTACCTTCACTGTGGCCTTGAAGTCTGTAAGATGTAGTAATGGCAAAAGAAAAAGGAAGCAAGTGGTAGGGTAAAATTGCTTGATTACAAAGCCATCGTTTTCTTTAACATAACACGTAGAGGGGTCAGTTAATGAAGGGAAAAAAACATCTTTTCCATTGTCACTTTCCCTTTCCGCAAAAGAGGACCTTGTTTGGATTCTGGGAAAGTTACGGAGCACTAATCATTTACATTTTACACAAGTGATCAAAATTCAAGTGTACGACTAGATCAAAGACTTGTTAAAATGAATAAAAAATCCATCCAAGAGTTACAACTGCTTACGTATCTTGACAATGGGCAATTTATGAGAGGCTATATATCCTATGTTTCTAGACCCTGTCTAAATCATGCAATTTTGTGGCGGCTTGGGGATTTTACTCTTTTAAACAGTTTCGTTCCCATAAGCAATGATTATATGCATAAATGTGCACATATCGACTTTAATGGCAGTAGTAGGACGAATAGCATCAGTTTACCAATGAAATTCGGTCCACCATTTTCATCAGTGTGTTCATTTCAAGGATGAATAACACATCACTTAAGCTTTGCCATCTTTGGCTCCACTTGGTTTATGTTCGAATGGTGCTGTTAATGGTTCCTATAGGAAGAAGAGGAGGGGTGTTGAGGGGTGTTGAGGGGTATTATCGTATTTTTAAAATATCATATAGTTTATATTTTTTTATTAATAACCTAATTTCATATCCTTAAATTTCTAATATAAATTTTTAAATTTATATCTCTTAATATAAAATTTTGTGCTCGTCTTGTGTGTCCTTGTGGATGATGCAGTTATGTGTGGATGACGTAGGTAACCTATATGGTTGATGTAACTAACTAAATGCTTATCTAGGTTTAAAAGAGGTTTACTTTATGGGAAATATAGATAAAAAAAAGGTGGTATAATATACATATAAACAAACATGCTTTTTTTCTTCCTTTTAATAAACAAACTCAAGAACATTAATCTCACAAGTCATCACAGTTCTAATATCTTGCCTCCACTGCAACTCCTACTTTTAACAATAGAACCTACACTAGTGATCCCTCTATGAAATTCACGTCCCAAGATGAGAATAACCGATAAAGTTAGTTGGATCATCATCTTTACCTTATCAAGGTTGATTACCAAGAAGGGATGGTCTGTTGAACACGAGTTTGTGCTATCTCAATACGATTTTTCGGGTCATGCATGGTTTCATCCCTTAATGCATTAAGGATGGCTTGTAATGGGAACTCCCTGAGCATTCAAATCAAGTTTCATCAGCTCATGCTTCTCGAGCTCTTTCTATAATGAAAAAAACCATCACCTAGCCGGTGGGAGAAAAGAAATCGAGTACCTCGTGGTGAGTATTTTATATAGCACCTTCAAGATGGGGCAAAGCTCCACAGGAGCTACTGGTTTGTTTTCTTCGGGGTGTAGGACGCTTAAGCTGGACTGGCTAAGCAGCTCATAAAATCCCGTCACAGCAGAGACCCCCTGCCATAATAATGAGATTAATATTCGTAACAGGAATTAACTGACGGGATCGGATAGAACACAATGAAAAAGAAGAGTTAGAATCTTGTTCTTTTACTAAACAGTGATGAAATGGCCACAGAACCAATGGGAAATTGATCTTTACCAGTCCAGGAATGGTCTGGGATTCTTCATCTGTTTAAACGTGCATAGGAGTTGTTGCAAAAGTTTTTTTAAGTCATGCCTCTATACTTCCAGTCTTTCTAAAGAACGAAAGCAAACATTTCTTAGGCAATAAGGCTCTTTTTTTCCCTATTATACAACATAGGTTGTCTGCATACAACATTCGGCAGACATCCAATGATCTTGATCTAGAATGATGCTTAAATTTTCGATGATTTACTTCAAGTTAGATGAGAGTATCAATTCAACTATTCCCAAACCAACCTAAAACTGTTTGCTGAAAACCCTCAATGGAACAGAAAGGTTCGTACCTGAATCATACCCTTCCCCTTGATGCTATCACCCATTTCAAGGTTCAATACCCCGTTCGCCAGCTGTTGTCCGTACCATGCATTACGACCTTTTAACAGGCTTACATAGGTGTCGGCCAACAGCGGACCCGCAAGTTTCTCAGGCTCCTGCCAAGAGATGAGTGATAAATATAATCTCAGATGTACAGAGTGCAAAGTATACTGATTTGCTAGTGGCACTCTCATTGGTTAGTGCTGCTACCATTCCTGTGGAATCAATACAGGAAGTTAAATAACAAATATTTGAAATCTAAACATATTTGCTAAAATCGAAGTTCAATTAATTTAGTCCAAAGATTAGTTGTTTGGCATCATGAATAGAGGATGCAAAGGTGTTTAGCCAATGTCCTTTAGCATCTTGGAGATTATGGGGTAAAGGTTAGCAAGTAATATCCACCACTTGAAGATCAAACAAGTCAAAATCACAATACCTAAAACTGCATAAGGAAAGTACGAAATTCGGCTCAACACTTTTGTTTTTCCTATTGTGAGGTTCAAGACTTAGCATGCTTGCAAAAAATCAAAACTTACCAGTTCCAATGGCATAGACATTCTTCAAACCACCCATAACTTCATGAGTAACAAGATCACCGTTGTCCCACACAATAAAATGGGGCTGCCTTAAGAATTTTGCCAATGGTTTCCTCCACTTTTCAGCCCCACAAATTTGAGCATTAGTATATTCTTTATTGTAAATCTCTGAAGCAATATTAGGTCCTTCGAGATAGAGAATGTTCTCGATGGGGATTCCAGCTGCAGGAACAATAGCAAGATCCATATTGATATGAATTTTATCTTGAAATTCAGCAAAAAGGTTAAAACAGTTAATATGGCTATAGCCAAAACTTCAAAAAACAGAAAAGTAAGCTTACTTGCTCGATTGATCATGAGGGTGGGAGTTATTATGCGAGGTTCAGGCACAAACTCGGCTTCTATACCCTTTGCCAGAGATATGATTATGGGCACTGTTATTCTTTCTTTCCAATACCTTCTAATCTCCTCAAACACCACACGAGTTTCTGTTGATGGCAAGCCATTAATTACAATATCAGCATCCCAAACAGCTTGTTGCAAGTTTGTGACAACTTTTAAAGGTCAAAGCGGAGTTTCAATCATATTCCAGCAGAAGCCATCTTTCAAAATCTCATCTGCATACAGAGTCCTATCACCTAATCTTGCCTCAACGTACTTCAAGTAAGCACACCGCCTAATTAGTCTCCTCAACACGTCGTCCCTCGAATTGATCACTTCAAATAAGTGCTCAGCCGTGGCCTTATCAGCTATCTTTCCAGGCCTCCTCCATATTCTTATCGAAACCTTGTCCCTCAGATGACCATAACTGTCCTGCAGCAAAGCAGTGAATACACTACCCCAAGCACCTGCCCCGACGCCAACAATTCTCAATGGATCACCTTCCGTTTTGCCCATCAAATGTCGAAGCTCGTTGAGTTTCTCTTCTAAATAACCATTAGAGCTCTGAATGAGGCCATTGGCATGGGAATTCTGAGTCATTTCTTCACTAATGCTTGGCATCTTTCTTCCTTGATTAAAGTCAATAGTAAGGACAAATATCCCAAGCTTCTAATTCAAGAACTCTAGGCCTAAGATATCGAAACAAGTTCTACAAATTCAGAAGAAAAGTTTATGCATGCGATATCAAAACGATTCAATCCTCAAATCACCAAAACCAAAACCAACTGATCAACAAAAATACAATCTGAAATATTTAGTCCTTTGATCCCAATTTTTTTCCTTTCTAATTCTGGGAATGGCATCAACCATGAATCCACATCATAAGTTATCCAACAAGGAAAAAGCAAACTTCGAAAACTCAAGACGGTTAATTTGGCTATCTAATATCTACCAAACTACTAGAAACCAACAAAAGAAAGAAAGGTAAGCGAAAGTGATGAACCTCGTTTATGTCGTCATCTTCTTCAACGTGGTAACCTTAATTAGGACCTTTCGTTTAGGCCAATTTTATGCAAATGAAAAACATGTGATGAAAAAAAGCTCAAAACTTTGATACAATTCAGATCTTTATATTTGTACACGTTATTTTGTTTAATTTGCTTAGAACAATCTATCAACTTTAATAATTATTTTATAGTTTATCCTTTAAAAATCAACAATTTTTTTATGGGAAGGAAAAGAGCATAGGAAGAATTAAGAATTTATTAGGGTGGGATTTAAAATATTTTTGATTTTTCATAAATAT